AATAATAAAAGGATTCGATAGGGTAGCTACAGAGAAACTATTTCCTCTGGTGGGGGAATCCAGAACAAGGGGCATAATCTTAAAATTAGAGCTAGGTCATTTAGGAGGGAAATCGGGAAACATTTTTTCACACAAAGGATTGTGGAAATCTGGAACTTTATCCCCCAGAAGGCTGTGATTGCTGGATCAATTCACATTTTCAAGACTGAGGCGGATAGAGTTTTATTTGGTATGGGTATCAAGGGATATGAGGCAAAGCCGGGTAATTGGAGTTGAGGTATGGATCAGCCATGATCTGACAGAATGTCAGAACAGGTTCGAGGGGCTGAATGGCCTACTCCTATTCCTGATGATCGAGTGAGTTGGTTACCTGAGAAGAAATGTTCTTGCCAAAAAATAAAAGTACATTTTACTGGAACTTGCCCGCAGGCTAGTACTTAAAAAAAACATTAAAGAATTGCAGCAACCCAGAAACATATTGCATTGAAACATGTTCACAGGCCATTCGTAGTGCTGACATTTGCAGGCTTGATCCTCGTCCCTTTAATAGCCGCTTCCGCGGAAGGTATCAAACAAACTGAATAGCTCTTTAAACAACTAACACACAAAAAGAAGATATATTATCCTTCCATTTGATATAGCATCTTATTACATGCCAGAGACGTCTCAAAGTGCTTCATGGAATATACTGTAAAGTGGATCGACTGTGGGTGTATTTTTGTGGGCAAAACGGGGCAGCCAATTGCACGCAGCAATGACCCACAACAGCCATGGAATGAATGACTAAATAATTCATTTATTTATTTTGGTGGGGATTATTACCCCCGTAAAGCGATCTGCCAATTGACTGATAACCGGGTTCCTATTTAATGCTCGGTAAACAAAGGCATGTGCAGAGTAAGGAAACTTGCCTAAGGTTTTGCCCCGCCTGGGAAACGAACCCGGCTCCTCTCGCTTGCGAATGAATCGTGTTGCCTTCTGACAATGCAGCACCGCCCCACCCTCCCCAACCACCACTCCCTTGCCTCACCACCACTACACTGGGGCATCAGGCTAGACTGTGTGAATTCATAATCTCAACAAATATCCAACCACTTCTCACCAAATCCATGACTGGTCATTAATTCAGGGAGATAGTCTTGATGTGGGAACGCGCCAAACTGTGAAAATGTAATTATTTTCCACTTGATACCCAGCATGAAGAGCCCAGCTTCAAGAGCAGAAGTAATTGCAATGTAATAATACCTTAATTTGTCACAAAACAGAATCGGTAATCAGCAAGGCTTAAGCCCGGGGCTAACGTTTTTTGGAGCCTAAGTAAAATTAATTTAGGTCTTGTTTCCTATTTTGTTTCTGCTACCAGAGGAAAAGTAATACTTCTATTTTTCTCTTAAACGTAGCAACAGGAATTGAATGTACATTCGTAGACAAAACAAAACACTGATTAAATGTTCCAAGCTCTTCAGTTACGGGAGTAAAGATTTTGCGGGTAGGGTGGAAGTGATGACGCAGGAGGGCATTTGAAATAAAATATGCTAAGAATCCTCGCGTTTGATAAGCGCCTTTTCTTGTTGTTGAACATCCGAAAGGATTTTAATTTTAAATTTGATTTGCATGCAGCAATGTTCCACAGACAGCCGTGAAGAGAACTGCCAATTTTATCAACAAGAACTTGCATTTATAAAGAGCCCTTCATCTGGGGTAGGGCCTTCACATTTTAGCAGAGGGTCTCAGCCACTGTATGATTTTGAGATACGTCCATAGAAAACAGCACTGAATTTCTATGAACCGAATTTGCCTGGCAAAGGCTTGGCTAATCTGAGCTTCCGGGGTGTGGGGGGGAATTTTTTGGATACTTTCCAAAACACCAATAATATGAATTTGTTGTTATATTGCATTTTTGTCTCCGCACGCTAGTGAACCACATACACCGTTGCAAATGCCAACAACTTCCTTCTCTATCAAGAGAAGGGAGTTTCTACCGGTGTCCTGGCCAACAATTCCCCAAATAAAAATCGGCCACTCACTCAACTGTGGGACACTGCTGTGTGCAAATTAGCTGCAGTGTATGCCTACAGGACACTGGCACGCAACAGCAACGACGACAAAATTACATTTATTGAGCGCCTTTCACGTCGGGAGGACGTCCCAAAGCGCTGAAAACTTTATGGTATAGGCTGTGAAGCTTTTTGGGATGTTCACTCGCTATGAAAGGGTGCTGCACCAAATGTAGGGATTATCATCATCATCATCAGTGTTCAACTGATAACCCATCTCTCTTCCGCTCTTAACTTCCCAGCTTCATGAAATCCGGCAGCTGGGAAACGTTTAGTGCCGCAATATTTCTTGATGACTGAGGTCAACACCGTGAAGCAAAGTCAACCTTTGAGGAGGACATCTTCCATCTACCAATTCTAACTCCCCCCTGAAATGCAACACTAACTTGGCTAACAGCCTTTGAAAATAATCCATCAGCAGAGTATTTGTGCAATGAAGCCTTCTTTTTTACCGACTAACAAAGCAATGGCCCCAAATAGTCTGTTTTATTGGACGGGTCAAGTTTGCGAGACACATCTCTGCTATTTACTGAATTTTAAATCACCAAATTTTTCCCTTCTATTGCTCACATCAACCCTGGGTAATTTCTGCAGCCTTTATTTTCTGGTATAAATTGTAGGGCGTGAGCACAAGTTCAACTCAAGCTAGAGCTTCGGGCCAAATACTCCATCTACTATAGCTGTTGGTTCATTTCAATGTCTGACTGTGAAGCGTTATAGATGCACATCGGGACTGTATTTAATAATCCTTGCATTTGATACAGCGCCTTATCACATCATCGAGATGTCTCAAAGCACTTCAATGGATTTACTGTAAAAGGTGATTGCATATTTTTAAGTGAACGAGGCAGACAATTTGCACACAGCAAAGTCCCCAAAACAGTCACGGAGTGAGTGACCAATTTCTATTTGGGGGGGGGGGGGGTTGTTGGCCAGGACCCTGGGAGAGAAGAAACCCCTTCTTTTTTTGAATAGTGCCACGGGATCTTTGTCCACCTGGGCAAACATCCAAAGGAATACATCTCCAACATAACACCTCCAGCACTGTATTGGAGTGCCAGCTTAGACTATGTGATCCCAAGTCCCAACAGGGGTTTGAACCCACAACCTCTGCTGCGTTTCGCCCACAAAATATACTCAATTCACTTTACAGTATATTCTGCAAAGTGCTTTGAGACGTCTAGAAGACGTGACAAGGTGCTATTTCAAATGCAAGGACTATTATGTAGTGTCAGCCTGACTCAGTCAATAGCACTTGGGGCATTTAATGAACAATATTTATTTTAGAGGTTAATTATTAGGCTCGACACGAATCAACATGCTGAGTAAATCTGATGTCTGTAAGCCTGGCTCAGTGGTAGCACTCTCGCCTCTGAGTCACATGGTTGCGGGTTCAAGCCCCACATTGGGACTTGGAATCAGACTAAACTGATGCTCCAATGCAGAGCTGGGGGGTGTTGCATTGTTGGAGGTGCTGTCCTTCGAATGAGATGTTAAACCGAGGTCCCGTATGCCTGTTCAGGTGGATGTTAAAGATCCCATGGCACCATTCAAAAGAGTTTCTCTCTACCGGTGTCCTGGCCAACAATCCCCCAAATAAAATTGGTCACTCACTCCACGGCTGTTTGTGGGACATGGCTGTGCGCAGCTGTTCCTGCTGGGAATCAAACTCAGGTCTCTTGCTTGCGAGATAAGTGCTTTAACCACTGAGCTATAGAGCTCTGCCTGTAAACATTATTAATAATAAACCTTAGTGGCAGTCAAAGAACAGCAACGCTCGCCTTCAAGATATTCTTCAAACGTTCCATTTAGCTGTGAGCAAAGCAACTGTGTGAGGAACTAATGTAATTGGGTCCTCATGGAACAGATCAAGTCCAATTAAGTAGCAAATGAACCATCATTGTAGAAACATGCACTACCCCAGCGCTCCCATGCTGCAGATAAGCCGCCTTTAATTGCTGGCTTCACAAATTGCAGGTAGACACTATTTTCCGGGGATGATTTCACAACGGAGCCAATTTGACCAAGCTTTGTGATTACTAAGCCCTTTTCACAGTGTGATGGGGAGGGGGTTAAGAAAGAATCCCCTCCCTTTCTTAAATCACGGCAAGGCAGGAGGTGGGGTGGTCTTAAAATTAGCGGCAGCGGTTGTGTGAGGGCAACAGTGCCCGTAGCAAATTATCTTCATCACTGGCTTCGTAACATAGTACTTCACAGCAATTTCATCACACGCTGAACGAAATGTAGAAAGCTAACCCAGATTGCTCCCTTGGGTATAGTAAACGCAACAGCAGACAAGAGTTAAACTCAACCTACATCAGTTTTACATTATGTAGTACAAAATGACTCCTTTATTAATCCTCTTTATTAAATGTCTAGACACTGGTTAAAAAACACCAGGTACGCCACACACACTTACATATGTACAGTAACCAAAACATTACCTTCCAAAGGTCAAGCTAACACGGCAGCGTGGAGACATTGCACACAAGGCTTTAGATTGGGACCAGAGAACTTGCTGCATCTCCCCTCTCCCCCACTGAGCTCTTTCAGCTTAAGGCTGTACACACCAAGTTAAAAGGTTTGAAAACAAAGTGGAGTACTCATGTAGGGGAGATAAATGTTCCTTCAGCTGAGAGTTGATAGCTTAAGTTTGTCTTCCTATACTTAACAATAATCCGTGCACTTGATATAGCGCCTTATCACGTCTTTGAGACATCTCAAAGCGCTTCACAGAATATACTGTAAAGTGAATTGACTGTATATTTTGTGGGCGAAACGCAGCAGCCAATTGCGCAGAACAGTGTCCCACAAATAGTCGTGGACAGAGTGAACGAATTATTATTAGTTAAAAAAAAATTGAGGAGATTTTACCCCTGGAAAAGCGATCTGCCAATCACTAATAACCAGGTTTCTATTTACTGCTAGAGGTTTGTGGAGTAAGGAAACCTGCCTAAGGTTTCACCCCACCCAGAAACTCTCGCTTGCAAGTTTGAGATTACTGGTACATTTGAGATTAGCGACTGCCTTCTTGAGCTACAACTGAGGGGCCAGCAAGAATGCTTTCCACATGAAATCCGAAAAATAAAAATAAAATTCCCTTTTGTGAAGACGTTACAGTATCAGGCAACAATGAACCGAGAGTAAATTTGGACTTACACTGGGTTTTAGTTCAACTTGCGAGAGACGAAGCACAAAAACTTTCTAAAAGGAGAGGGGGGGGAGAGAGGAAGGCAGAATTCCGAAAGCCGAATCCAAGATCCAAACAGATCGATGTGCGATTGAAACGACAAGCAAATTCGATCCCGTGTGTGGTGACTGAATAATACTTTATGACAGGTTTGGAATGCCACAAATTAATGAAAAAAGCAAGAAATAAACCAGGGACAAAACAGCTCTTCACGTAGGGTTTGGGACTTCAGAGAGGGTTGTCCGAGGGTGCCAATGCTAAACGAATAGTCATTGTTTACTGCTCAGTTTCTGCAAATGCTTGATGTGGAATGGTGCAAATGTTTTAAGACTGTCTTAGGCCACTATGTCAGTGGAAAAAATAATGTAACATTTTCTTTTTAGCAAAGCAAAATTAGGTCTTCATCTGCCAACTAGTCAACAACACGATTCTCCAGCCAGATTTCTCACAGAGAAAACAAATCACAAAATCAAGACAATCTCGTTATAAATTTAAAAAAAAGTGCACTTCTTAAATCAAGCTCTGCTCTAACTTGAGGAGTACATGACATTCTCACAGAGAGCAATTGTTCTCTTACATCTGCAAAGTCACATATTGGGAGAAATGGCTTGCAGTTTTAGCCTTCTCCGTGCTAAGGCTTCCAGCTTTTTCCGTTCAATCTCCGCCTGTGAGCACTTTGTCACTGGTTTCGGTGGGGTCTTCACAACTGCGTAAACGAAGTAAATATTGAAAAAAAAGCTTAAACAATGACACTGACTTGCATTTTTACAGCGCCCTTCAGGCAGAGTAGCACCTCGGAACGTTGAAAAGTGGACACCGAGCACAGGAGAATAACAACAACAAATTACACCGCTACGGTTAAAGAAGTAGGTCTTTAAGAGGGTGCAAGGCAGAGGGTATGAGGCAAGGAGTCCCCAGGGTTAGGGGCTTAGTGGCTGAAGGCTCAGCCGGCAATGGTGACATGATGGTGGGGGGATAGCGGGGGACATGCAACAGGCCTGTGTACGCTGAGTGAACAGAGGAGTGGGGTAGGTGCAAGTTAGAGAGGTAGGGAGGTGCAAGGACATGAAGGGATTTGTTATAAGGGTGAGAAGGTTCTTGAAATCGAGACAGTGTAGCCTAGCGTGGATCGAGGTGATGGGTGTGCAGAGTTTGGTACGAGTGAGGAGTCGGGCGGCAAAGTTTGGGATTAGTTAGACCTGCTGGATGGTGGGACTATGGAGGCCGGCGAGGTCGGGTACGGGAGGAGCAAGGCCTTGGAGGGCTTTGAAAACAAGGATGACGATTCTGAACTCTATCCTCTGGGGTTTGAGGAGCTAGTGGAGCCAGGCGAGGAAGGGGTGATGGGTTCACGGAACTCAGTGCTGGAGACGACACGAGCTGCAGAGTTCTGAATCTGAAATGAATGTTTAACACCTCACCTTTGGTCTGTATAGCAGAGTCGGAATGAAGTCTCTTCAAAGGCAAGCCTCGGTGATGCTGCACTGCTGTACTCGGCACGTTTGCTTGAAGACTAGAGCGACCTGCGGTGCCAAAAGTCTTCCTGCTGCTTGTCACATGGCTCCCCAGAGCACCGTTGCCAGAGCAACTCGTAATCCTGGAGAAAGAATATTTGGAGGAGCTCGGCTTTCCGTTTGCGGCAGACGCAGCCTGGGAGTTCGTCGCTGCGCGATTCGTAACAACAGAGGACTTGAACGCCCCCGGGCCTCGGGGGTTGTTCGGAGCTGGGATCAATTCGGGATGGTTCCCGGAGCTGGAGTTCAGAGCAGACATGGAAAGGGACCTGCTCCAGTTGGTGGCATGTCCCGATGTTTTGCTCTGGAGGCCGCTGGAAGCCCTCGAGTGATGGGCTGCTGTGTGGAAGGTGGTTGCGAAAGGCAACGTGTTGGGGGGGTTTCTCAGAGGATTGGTGTGCGCAACAGGCTGCCCCCTCGAACAGCCTTGGCTTCCTGGCTTGGAGGCAGCTCGATCTCCGTTCAATGGTTTGAGCGATGGATCCGGCCATTTGGATAAGGGGCTAATCCGCATGGCTGTGGGCAAAGGGCAATGAGCGGTTGCTTTAGGCCCTGGCTTTTCCTCGGCTGTAGCCAGCCCGGCGTTCTGGTTTTCCATCAACCTTTCTACGTCATCGCACACCCTGTACAGGTCCTCGTCGTCCTCCTCCTCCTCCAGCTCACAGAGCCGGTCAGATTGGGACAGCATGTCCAGCACCTCGTCCGAAAACTCTGAATCATTCCAGTCATCCACCGGAGGCAGAGTTGTCGTCGTCGTCGTCGCTGTGCTTTGCTTTGGTGGGTCAATCGTTCTCTGCGTGACGAGCGTCCGCTGAGCGATGGCCTCCTCTTGCTTGGGTTTCAGGCCGGGAGCCAGGGCGGGCTTTGGGCAATGGGAGAATGTCTCTCCGCTGCCCTGCTGGCCACCATTCCCCAACCTCGGCTTTGTACAAGGGAACGTCTGAAAGGCATGGAGCGAGGGGGCGACTTGATAGGGTTTCGGAAGCTCCTGCGATCGATTCTCTTCGCCTTTTACGGGCACTTTACTTTCTTTGTCAGAACCACCTGGAGTAACTCTATTGCTGGATCTGCTTTGTAACATAAAAGTCGCCCTGGGCTTTGGTCTTTCAGACCCCCTCCCGTATAGCAAAACCTTGGCAACCGTTTTGGTGTCTTTCAACTTACCGGTTGGACTCTGAAAATGCGACGGAAGCGCCATACTCCTGGAGGGAACTCCCGGCTTGCTTATATCTTTAGCCTCTCTGCCCTCGCTTTGGTTGGCAGTGTCTGTGCTACAATCTGGCAGCTTCGGGATATCCTTCGGGCTGACGATAAGCTCTGGGTTTTGGGTAATTTCCATGCTGAAACAGTCATCGTCCATCCAGTCGTCGCTGTCCCAGTCGTCAAACCCCTCGTCGTTTGTTGGAGCTGTTGCAGTCTGGCAAGACACCATTCCCGCTCCGGTTTGGGACTCAACGCTGCTGTCCTCTCGCAGGCCGATAGGGCAGCTTTCGGTCCCGGTCTCACAAGGCGTCCCTTGGCCGTTTTCCGAGACGGTCGATCTGCCAGCGAGGAGACACTTACTCTGATCAAAGTCAAGTGATGCTACAGCTTGGGCTCTGCTGTTTTGTTCAGAGAGCAAGCCTGCATTCTTCAGAGACAAACACTGATCTAAAGGTTCTTTCACATGGCTACCTTTGCTACACTTATTGACCTGTGAAGAGACATCTCTGTTGGTATGCACTGACTTGGTGAGAGCTTTGGTAGGATGACTGCCTTCCCCGACTCTTTGACTCATTGCATCCCCCGAGCAGCACTGACTCAATGGCCCACTGATGTGTTGAGTGGGTCCATCAAACAAAGCGTTGACGGCAGCCTCGGCTTCTTCATTCAGTGGTGGATGGCTGAAGTTTTGTCTGTGGAGCTCGACTGTGGGAGCAGCGTTGCCTGTATTAGACCCAGTTACTGGATCCGATGACAACAAAATGACACAGTTCTGGGGCCATGTTATTTGTTCTGATTCACCACACACCAAACGTTGATTGATCTCGATCGTGTTCTCTTCGTGACTAACATCTTGTTCCACTAGATTTCGGTCAAATTCTTTCGCCAGCTTCATCAGCTCTTCCTCTGTACTTCTCTGCCACCTGAAATAAAGGCACATTTTAAAACAAATCCTCTTGCGCAACCATCTTCGAAACAATGGGGTGAAATAATAATAATCCTCGTATTTTATATAGCGCCTTATTATCATGTGACATCTTGAGACATCTCAAAGCCGTCACAGAATATATTGTAAAATAAATTGACTTTACATTTTGTGGGTGAAACACGGCAGCCAATTGGGCATAGCAGCGTCTGAGAAACAGTCGTGGATTGAATGTTCACATTTTTTGGGGGGCGGGGGGATTATTATCCACAGAAAGCGATCGGCCAATCGACTAATAACCGTATTCCTACTTTCTGTGGAGTAAAGAAGCTTGCCTAAGGTTTCACCCTACCCAGGAATCAAACCCAAGGTTAGAGCGCTTGCAAGGCAAGTGCTCCAAACAATACGCTACAGGACAAAACGAACAGTAAATTTTTCAAGACGGCCAGCTTTAATCAGGTTCTCTGCTAGAGAGGAATGTATTAGTGTTGCTTACCTTGAATGGTTTATTTTGGGCCTTGATCGAAATGGACCAGAAGGGGAATGCTGCATTGCATCCTCCCCAAGCCATATATTCATCGGTACCGTGGAATTCGATTGCTGATGAAAGAAAATATTAAATAGTACATTAATTTACAATAAGAATGTTTTGCAAAGGGTTCTACTTTGATTAAACTGCATTCCAATACAATACATTTATAATACACAATACAGTATAAATACGAGGTGGGTGGAAGGGTGGGGAGGATCTTTGGAGGTGCTGTCCTTCGGATGAGATGTTAAACCAAGATCCCGTTGGCCTGTCCAGATATACAATAAAGATCCCATGGCACTATTTAAAATAAGAAGGGAATTGCTCCCTGGTGCCCTAGCCAACAATCCCCACACCTTACCAAGTCTTCAAAATGCATAATTTGATTTTATTCTGAATTGGAATGACTGGGGCTACTCAAAAAGACAAGGGAGTTTCTCCTGGTATTCTGGCCAACAATCAATCCATCAGATAAAACTGGTCATTCACTTCATGGTTGTTAATGAGATTGTGTAAACACAAAATATTTACGAGTCTGTGCAAAAATTGGATATCAAGTTTGGGTACAAGATAATCACAACACTACACAGTAAAATCCTTTGAAGAGATTTGGGAGTTCTCCCTACATGAAAGGTGCGGTAAGGATAATCATTATGTACCGAGTACCCCAACGTGCTTTTACAGCATTTCACTGTAACATGCTGCGATTTTAAAACAAATGGGGTAACCTCTCTTTTTCTTTTCCATTTTTCCTTTGCATTCTCTTATGAGTTGAAGCTGCGGAAGACTGCTGTGTCTGTTAGAAACCCTGGGTGTGGACGGGTTCAAACCGACTGTCTTGCTCAGCTCCGGCACCTGCATCAATGATATTAGCGCTACAGGGTTGAGCACGCTCTCAGTTACCCTCAAATTCTGAGGTTATTGTAATTATGGAGTCTGAATCGGTCGGTGGTTTTCCACTGGATTTTAATTAACAGACCACAGATATTTGCAGAGATGGTAGATTTGACAGTGTTCTGTAAAGTTCCAGTTGTACTCAACCTGCCCATTTCGTGTAAATGGCAGCCTGCAGGGTGAGCAATGTCAACAAAACAAGGACTCGCATTCAGAAGAAACAAAAGTCAAAACATCCACAAGTAATTCTCAACTTATCAGAGTCAAATGCGGCATCTACGAGTAGGCAAATGTAGATGTTTGCGCCATATCTAAAATATTCACTCAATGAATGTATTTGGCACTTCTGCTATCAGCCTGTATACACAGCAGGCTTGAATGGATCACTATCTGATAACAGGTGATTTTGATAAGACGTAACTGATAACTTTCAGCCAACCTAAGATTTCTACTGTGTGAATGGAACAAGAACCTGCCACAATCATTTAGGATATAGCTGGTTTGTTTGAAATTATTTGAACCCGTTATACCATAACATTTGCCAGTGGGATTCAACCTACGTTAAAAGGCAGTTATCAAATTGCACTGAAACAAGACAGATTACAAATTGTAATTTAGAGTTTAATCTTGATAAATAAATTACTTTTTTCATATACAAACAGTAAGGAAAGAGGACAATCCTGTACTCCAATCATTTTCAACTTAAGACCAGTCCAACATTGGTGCAAAGAAAAAATGTACAGTAAACTCCTGACACTCCAAGGGAAAAAGCTCAATGACGAGTTATATATATATAAATACATCAATAAATGCGGCCAAGATATTGACAGCACGATAACTTAAGTGGTAGAGACAAGTTAAGCCAGGGGTTGAGATATCAGTTGACTGTAATAATACAGTAAGGAACCTTTAATGTCAGGTGGACATCTCAAAGCGCTTCATAGTAATGTGTAAACTTCAAATGTATTGATTGTGTCTTTTGTGGACAAACTATACTGCAAAGCCTGCTTCCTTGTCGTTGACAATTGTTTTAATTATTAATTACTACAATTAATGTAAACTCCTGATAACTTGACCCTGTCTTAACTTGTCACTACCACTCAAGTCATCATGCTGCCAGTATCCCTTCTGGATTTATTTATGTACTAGCTGTACCCATTGCAGCTTCGCTTGCAATAAAAGGATCCCATATGCAACGTAGATTGTTACACAGACAGACATTTCATCTTTGTTTATACTCAGCTGGGAGGACTCCTGTGGGAGGACTCATTTTAGCCGTGCTGTTCTTTGAGTGGCCAACCCATTTTGCGTGCTGTTGCTGTCCTTTCAGCAGTGAAGTGCAGCTGCGCTGTTCTTTGTTCTTCAGTTTCATTTAATGGCCTTCTCTCTTTTGTCTACCATTTTTAATTATCCTTGAAAGGTTGGATTTTCGCTTAGGCATCTTTATGATATATATATACTTTATAATTACTGGGACGTACTCCCGACCTGAAAGGCGCTTTAAAAATGCAATTTTGTTGTTGCGGCGGCTTAGCTTCGTCTGTGTTCTTTATCTTGTTCCCACTGCTGCTTGGCTACATGCGTGCTCTGTGACGCAGGAAGCCACAGCTACTTTGACTCAGCGGCCACCAGGTGTAACTGCAGTGAAAAACCCAAAACTGAAATACATTTTAGGTCGTAACTCATGAACGATAGGAGATATCCGAAAACAAATACGCCCATGTCACTCCCAGTTGTCAGACCTTTCCAATATAAATCATGTCAATCAGTTATTGAGATGCACACACACAGACATTGACAATGTCATAGACAGACATAGTCATTTTATTACCTATAGATAGATATGATGCCTAGCTAACCACTCTGAATAACTTGGCACTGAGCCCTTTTCCCTTGGGAGTGATGAGTTAACAGGAGTTTACTGTAATTTAGTGAAAGTATAGATTCAAACTCAATTGCAGATTGTGTTGCAGCACAAGAACAAGTTTCCCCACATACCCAGACAGGCGAACACCGCCCCTGTTCTCAAGCGACAGCAATCATTGGCAAATCATTGACAAAATTACTTCTGTAGGAGGAAAGTGCAGGTTTACCATTTTTTACCATAGCGGAAAAGTTGCCACAACAGAGCAGTAAGAAATGTGCCAGCCGAATTTCGCAAGGCAATGACCAGCAAAAAGCCATGAAGTGAACGATTAATTTGATCTTGGTGGTTGTTCACCAAGGCACCGGGAGAAATTCCACTTCATTTTTTGAGTAGTGCCGCAAGATCTTTTAACGTCCACCTGAATAGGCAGATGTGACCCCGATGTAATGTCTCATCCAAAGGATGGCACCTCTGACAACACAGGCACGGCAGTGGAGGATCAGCCGACTATGGAGGTTCTTGGGAAGTTGCAGGACGCAAACCGGCTGCTGTTTTCACCCCCAAAATAATAATAATAATAATCCTTGCATTTGATATAGAGCTTTTCACGTCTTCTAGACGTCCCAAAGCGCTTCACAGAATATACTGTAAAGTGAATTGACTGTATATTTGTGGGCGAACGCGGCAGCCAATTGCGCACAGCAATGTCCCACAAACAGTCGTGGATTGAAAATGACCAGCAAATCCGTGAAGCTCCTTGAGATGTTTTGAATGGAGTGCTTTGACATTGCATCAAATGTAAGGACAATTATTATCATTGACACTTGCGAAGAGGATCTAGGTTAACGGTAGTTACCTCCAAGCCATTCTCATGAGCGACTATGTTTGCCGCTTGGTTTGTTTGAGAATCAAATGATTCACTGAGGAGTGATTTGACAGAAAGCAGATCACCCTGGTCAAGTAGTCAGTGTTACCTGCGGAGCAATGCGTTTTACAACATCCGATATTTTCACCTCGTGTTGACATGCTGCAGATGTCTTCTTTCCATTGCCTGAAAACAAAGAGGTGAGACGCAGCATTAATGTTTGCACCAGATTTATTTTACCACAAAATACACAGTCCATCCACTTTACAATATATTCTTTGAAGCGCTTTGAGACGGCTCAAAGACGTGATAAGGCGCTATATCAAATGCATGCAAGAGACATGAGTTTGATTCCCAGCAGGTGTTTCCTTACTCCACACGTCTCTATTTACCTAGCAGTAAGTAGGATCCCAGTTGTTAGTCGACTGGCGGATCACTTTTCTAGCAATAATTCTTTAAAAAAAAATTATTCCCTTATAATATATATATATATCACGTAAATACTGTGGGTGTGAGCTGGTCTGTTGAATGCATTTCAACCATTGCAGAAAACGGATCTGTCAAAGGTACAAAAGTACATCAAATATACTTATAGTGAACAAATGGTTAAATGATAGACGAAAGTATCGAGGCCTGAAATTTCGCCTGGTTTTAGCCCGCGAGACAACTGTGCAGAAAATCAGGAGATTCCTTAAATCTGGTCTCAATAGATAAATTGATTAAATAAAATTAGGTCATTCAATCCACAAGTATTTGTGGGTCACTGCTGTGTGCAATTGGCTGCCGTGTTTCGCCCACAAAATATACATCAATTCATTTTACAGTGAATGAATCTGGAGGATTGTTGGCCAGGACACCGGGAGAAAGTGCCTGCAACGATTCTCTGCCCTTCCTAGTTCTGCTGATGAGCCAGGCTGGCAGCTCTGTCATCAGCAGTGCCCTGGAGGACTTCGGACTCGACTGCCTAAGGAACTGGAATACCGAGACCGCCACAGTTGACTCAACTCTATTCCATTGCTGAACATGTCACTTTGGAGCCAGTTCAGCTCCGGGAAGACATCAGTAACACCCCCATCCCCCCCACCACCACAGGATAGTCACCAGTTGACAATAAATGTATTGAATTACCTAATTTAAACGTGGTTGGAGAATGCTGATCCCAATATATCTCTTGCTGTTGCTGTGAATCATTGCAAGGGGAATCATGTCGATACTGTGATCTTCTTTGTGGAGTTTTTTGAGACAATACTTCTGAAAGGTTAAAAAAAAGTTAATGATAATAATCCTTGCATTTGATATAGCACCTTATCATTCCGACGAAATGCCTCAAAGCCCTTGGACAGGATTTATTGTAAAGTGCAGTGACCGCATTTTGTAGGCGAATACGGTAGCCAATTTGTGCAAAGCAATGTCCAATGGACCATTTTTTAAGAAAGGACATACTCGTCTTAGAGGGGGTGCAGCGTAGATTCACTAGGTTGGTTCCTGGGATAAGGAGGTTAACCTATGAGGATAGGTTGAGTAAACTAGGCCTATATTTTCTAGAATATAGAAGAATCAGAGGTGATCTTATAGAAACCTATAAGATTCTTAAGGGTCTTGACAGAGTAGATGCCGTGAGACTGTTTCCCTGGTTGGAGAATCTATAACTCGGGGTCATAATCTCAAGATTAAGGGTCAGTCTTTTCGAAATGAGTTGAGGAAACATTTCTTCACTCAGAGGGTAGTGAAATTGCAGAATTCTCTACCCCAGAAGGCTGTGGATGCTCAGTCCTTGAACATATTCAAGACTGAGGTTGATAGATTTCTAAAGGATAGAGGGATTAAGGGATATGGGGATAGGGGGGTAAATGGAATTAGGTTAGAAGATCAGCCGTGATCTTATTAAACAGCGGGGCAGGCTCGAGGGGCCGAATGGCCTACTCCTGCTCCTACGTCTTATGGTCATTTTATATGGGGAATTGTTGGCCAGGACACCTGGAGAAACTCCTTTCTGCTTTCTAAGAGTGGCATGAGATCTTTAACATCCACTTGAACAGGCAAACGGGTTCACTGATAATGCAGTGATTCCGCTGGGAATGTCACAATCCAAATTTGCGTTTACATAACTCCTTTCGTGTCAGGAGAACATCCTACGGCACCTAGATTACCTGCAGTTCAATGTTCTGTCCTGAAGCTTAACCGCACAACCTTCTGACGCTAAGGTAGAAATGCTAACAACTGAGCCAGGTAGTTTTAAAAAGAAAATAGGTACAACACTAACAACAGTTTAGTGACAAAGTCCAGTTCTGACGCAAGGTCATAGACCTGAAACATTAACTAATTTTCCTCTCTCCATGGATGGTTCCCAGCGACTTCTGTGTTTATACTAACAACGAGTTGCCTTATTGGAAAGTTTTACGGGTGGATTCAGACGATTTAGATTGGATCAGACAGAGGAACAAACTTATTGAGCGAACTTTAATTTTGCACGATTTGAGTAATTGCTCATTACAAAAAAGGTGTCGTCTGCACCTTCTTTAAGCACATTTCTCAAAAGTGATTAACAGAAATAATATAAATGCCTCACTTGGTGCCCAAATCCCCAATTTAATCCATTACGATTTTAAATGCGATAGAACAAAAATGTTGCAGGCGGACCCAATTGACCGCCTATTTATTGCAAAAGACACATTATCTTTGATGCTTTGATGAAAGGAGTCCGACAAATCAATGGATGCCCTTCTACCAGTAGTCGGAAGTTATTTTCACATGGACTGAATCAAGGAATTACATTTTATATGATGTTCTAATAGATGTTGAGAAATCTGTAATGTCAAGCTGAGCTAACTCCGCAGGTGGTGGCCGAGGATCATAAACAGGGCAAAGACTGCCCGCTGTCATTTTCACTGAGGCCACGCTAAACCTTCTCAGCATCTGTTTAGTGTGTGTGTATGTATGTATGTACGTATGTTTATGTGTGTGCTGCCGCAGTGAGCATAACCAGAAGCAACGCTTGTTTGGAACTGATGAGTTTTGATAACTGCATAACTAGTTTGCAACTCATTACGACACTCTAATAAGATCCAGATAAAAGTAAGACGGCTTGCAACCCCTTTTTTTGCCACCGTCTTTTCATTTCATTCCAAACTGAGCCCCTAAACGAAGCCTTTTGCAACGAATGGAATACTTCTTGAGCGGAAAAACATTTAAAATGGGACTGTTTGAAAAGAAATAACCAATGCAAAGCAATTAAATAATCCCTTCATATAAAAATAATAATTTTGTCACTGGGACACTACACAAACTACAGTCAATTCGCTTTACAGTATATTGAGACGTCTCAACAACATGATAAGGTGCCATATGAATGTTCGACCCTGAGCTGTCCTTTCTCCCTCATATTCGCGCCACAACTGGCACCGCCTTCCATCACCTCCGGAATATCGCCAGACTACGGCACTACCTCACCCCTCACGCTGCTGAAACTCTGGTCCACGCCTTTATCACCTCAAGGCTGGACTATGGGAACTCTCTCCTCGTCGGCCTTCCCGCCACCTCCCTCCACAAGCTGCAGGTCATTCAGAACTCTGCAGCTCATGTACTGTCCCGCACCAGGCTTCGGGACCACATCACTCCCACCCTCGCTCGCCTCCACTGGCTCCTCATCCCCCAGAGGATCGAATTCAAGATCCTCATCCTCACCTACAAGGCCATTCACGGCCTTGCTCCCTCCTACCTCTCCGACCTACTATCCCCTACCTACCTGCCCGTACCCTCCGTTCCTCTGGCTCCGGTCTGCTCCACATCCCCCGCCCCAACCGCCCTACCATCGGTGGCCAGGCCTTCAGCCTCTCAGCCCCGAGGCTCTGGAACTCCATCCCCCAGTGCCTTCGCCGCTCCTCCCTTTCCTCCTTCAAGGTCGGTCTCAAGACCTTTCTCTTTGACCGTGCCTTCAGCTCCCCTCTCGACTCTCTTCCCCCTCCTCGCTCCCTCCCTTCCCTCCCCTCACCCTGACCATTTCCCCCCTCCTTGCTCCCTCCCTCCCCTCACCCTGACCATTTCCCCCCTCCTCGGGTCCTGATCCAACTGTACAGCGCCTTGGGACGTCCTCCCAACGTGAAAGGCGCTCTATAAATGGAATCTTGTTGTTGTTGTAGGGGGTATTTAGAGAGTTTAAGGGGTATTGGTGGGTATTGAAGGGGTACTGGGTGGGGATTGAGGGGTATTGGGTGGGTATTGGGGGGGGTATTGGGAAGGTATTGAGGGATATTGGGTGGGTTTGAGGGTATTGGGGCTATTGAGTGTATTGGGGGGTATTGAGGGGTATTGGGGGGGTATTAAGGTGGTACTGGGGGTATTGGGAGGGTATTGAGGGATATTGGGTGGGTTTGAGGGTATTGGGGCTATTGAGTGTATTGGGGGGTATTGAGGGGGTATTAAGGTGGTACTGGGGGTATTGGGGGGTATTGGGAGGGTATTGAGGGGGTATTGGGAGGGTATTGAGGGGGTATTGGGAGGGTATTGAGGGTATTGGGGGTATTGGGGGTATTGGGGACAGTGGGGGTATTGGGGGTATTGAGGGGTATTGGGGGTATTGAGGGGTATTGAGGGTATTGAGGGGTATTGGGGGTATTGAGGGTATTGGGGGTATTGAGGGGTATTGGGGGTATTGGGGGTATTGAGGGTATTGGGGGCAGTGGGGGCAGTGGGGGGTATTGGGGGCAGTGGGGGCAGTGGGGGTATTGGGGGCAGTGGGGGGTATTGGGGGCAGTGGGGGGTATTGGGTGCGGCCTACAGACGGGCTCTGCTCAGCACGAGCCTCGGCCTCGGATACCAGCGGCGGCCGCTCTCCTCACCCTCAGTCCGGTCACCCGCCTCCGCCGCCGGCGGCCTGGGGCCTCGGCGCAGCCTCCCGGCCCTGCCCCGGGGAGTGCAGCTGCTCCGCTCCCCCTCCCCCTCCTCCTGCTCCCGCTCCCGGGGCGGCTTCGGGCTCGGTCTCCGGCCCCACATCCCCGTCACTCGGGCTGGGGCTCGGGCTGGGGCTCGGGCTGGGGCTCGGGCTCGGGCGGGGCGGCCATCCCGCCCCCCGGCACAGCCCTGACTGAGAGTCAGACACACACACCGCGTCCCAGCGCGGCCGCAACCCCACCACGTGTGTCGCCCCAAAACCACCGCACACTCGCCCAAAAGTAGCCCAATTATATGTGTGTGTGTGTGTGTGTTGCCAGAAATTAAAGCACATCTGTAGCCCCTCCCCCTCCCCTCCCCCACTCCCTCCCCTCCCCCTCCCCTCCCCCCACTGCCTCCCCCTCCCCCCACTGCCTCCCCCTCCCCCTCCCCCACTCCCTCCCCTCCCCCTCCCCCCACTCCCTCCCCTCCCCCACTCCCTCCCCCTCCCCTCCCCCCACTCCCTCCCCTCCCCTCCCCCCACTCCCTCCCCCCTCCCCACTCCCTCCCCCTCCCCCACTCCCTCCCCTCCCCCCCACTCCCTCCCCTCCCCCTCCCCCACTCCCTCCCCTCCCCCTCCCCCACTCCCTCCCCTCCCCCTCCCCCACTCCCTCCCCTCCCCACGAAATATTTCCATTGCAAAGTTTCGCCCGCGAAGTATGCAGTCGACTCGCCTTTACGGTGTATTCCGTGAAGCGCTTTGAGGCGTCTCGACGACGGGATAAGGCGCTGTATCGAATGCAAAGATTATTATTATTATTATTATTATCATTAAATATTAGCCCCAAAATAGTAGCTGGATTTTTTGTGTGTTGGCTGCTTGCTATCAGGGTAGCCAGGAATTGAAACACGCTTGTAGCCCAGAGTTTCCCCAAGGCACTAGCCCAAAAGTAGCTCAGTTATTATGCGTTGTCGATTATCAATAATGATAATAATAATCTAATAATAATAACGATAATCTGTAATAGTTGTTGGCCAGGAATTAAAACCCATTTGTAGCCCAAAGTTCGCTGAATACGAGCCCCAAAGTAGCCCGGGTATACTAACAATCATAGCAATTAGTTGTAATCGATCAGCTGTAACTGACCAGATATTACCATAAAGAATCAAATAGATTGTACATGTAGTATTGTTGATGTGGCTCTCCCAAGTGATTATAATGTGAAAAATATCAACCTCCTGCAAAAAAGCAGCTCAAATAGGAAGCTCAAATATAGAAAAGTAACGTCTATTCATATGTAACGTGGCAGTGTTATTGGTCTGGTTGATCATCACTGAAAAGCGTTTAGAAATGACCTCTACACAGTCATTTCAACTGTAATAACATAATAATACTAATAATAATCCTTGGGTTTGATATAACGCCTTATCACATCATCAAGACGTCTCAAAGCGCTTCACAGGATACACTGCAAAGTGAAGTGACTGTGCAATTTGTGGCTGAAACAGTTTATTCCTACATAGGGAAGCAGAATGGCCAAGTTAAGTTAGTGCTTTTGAAACTGTGTAAGAAGTGGTCTTCAAACGGGAAAAAAGTTCACACACACAGAAACGTTTTGCAGGTTTCAAGATCAATTTTTAAAAAGAATTAGACACCCGCCCAAAGCCATTTTTTCCACAAACAGCTGGTACAACAAAAAAAACACCTGCCCAATCTGACTGCATTGGTAAGAGAGAAAGAGAGAGAGACTGACTGACAGAGAAAGCAACACATAGAGACACAGCCTGCCTGTCCACAAATAGAGACATATCAACATACATACAGAGTATCCACACGCAGAGACACTGACTCAATGCACAAACGCAGAGAGAAACACAGCAACAGAGATGCTCACTGACTAACTGTCTACATACAGATATACACACAGCAACACACAATGACTGGCTGACTATCCGCATCTGAGCCTAATAATAATCCCTCCAAAACCCAAAACAATAATAAATTGGTCATTTTCAATCTACGACTGTTTGTGGGACATTGCAGTGCGCAATTGGCTGCCGCGTTCGCCCACAAATATACAGTCAATTCACATTACAGTGTGTTCTGTGAAGCGCTTTGGGACGTCCTCCCGACGTGAAAAGCGCTATATCAAATGCAAGGATTATTATTATTATTATTATTATTATTATTATTATTATTATTATTATCTGTATGCGCTCAAGTGTGCACTCAGTCCAGTCTCAGATTGAACTGAAATCCTACCTAGACCTTCCCTGTTGGAAAGGAATGAGAAGTTATAAAGGATGTGAGTAGAGTTAAAAATTCTGAGTCATCCTAAGCAGGTTCCCAGTGTTAGTACTGTAGATGACCAACTTGGAAAGGAATACATCAAGATTATTATTAATATTATCAATTATTAAGTGGCATGATGGGGGAGGTCAGGGAGTGGGGTGTGGGGGGATTCAGGGAGCAGTGTGCATGGGGTTGGTGAGTGGTGTGGAGGGGGAAGTCGGAGCGGTGTGGAGGTCACGGAGTGACAAGTTGAACACTGTATTACTCTTGTTTTATTTATTCCCGTCCATAATTAGTTCACGCCCCCTCACCGCTGGGAGCGAAGGGTGTACGCGTCTGTTGATAGCGAAATGCAATATGTCTGTGAGATGCCCAACGCCATCCAGGTTGCTTGGAATAATATAAACATTGCAGATTGCTGCTCGCAGCCCCAAACTATTAGAATGTACAGCTGAAAGCAACCAACAGATCAAAAATGATTGATGAGCCCACTTGGGACTGATTAATATTCACATGATTTACCCATCTGTTACTGGGAGGGTGTCAGCGCTCAATAGCTGAGGAACAATCAACAGCAGTGACAGGCTTGCGGAAAGAAAATTCTAGAAACCATTAAGTGACAATAAGATAAATAGTTTAAACAACGGAAAATATTTCACTTTACTTATTAGCTTTTACTCCCGTAATTGCACATAAATCTCAATCTAGTCAGTAAGCGTTGAGTCTGAAACATATCTTTCACTTAGCTTACTTTACAGAACAGTGTCGGGTGCAATATTCTTATTGATATAATAATAATCTTGCATTTGATATAGCGCATTAACATGTCGACAAGACGTCTCAAAGCGCTTCACAGGATATACTGTAAAGTGGATTGGCTGTGTGTTCTGTGAGCAAACTCGGCAGCCAGTTTGCGCACAGCAATATCCCACACATAGCCATGGAGTGAGTGACCAATTTTATTTGGAGGTTTTTTGGCCAGGACACTGGGAGAGAGAAACTCCCTTTTCTTTTTGAATAGTGCAATGGAATCTTTACCATCCACCTGAACAGGCAGACGGGACCTCAGTTTAACATCTCATCCAAAGGATGGCACCTCCTACCATGAAACATCCACCAACTAGCACTGCATAGGAGCATCAGCTTAGACTATGTGATAGATTTCCTGATTAAGAAATCCTGAAGTAAACTCATGGATAAAAAAAGGATAGAGATCCTTATTAAAATTCGAAAGATAGATTGAAGCCCCCCGTGTCGGAAATTTGAGTTCACGGTCTAGGCTGTCACGCTCTAGTGCAGTGCCGGGGGGAGACTGCATTGTCGGAGGTGGTGTCCTCTGATGAGATGTTAAGCTGAGGCTCTAACTCAGGTGGATGCTAATGATCCCGTGGCAATATTCAAAAAGAGAAGGGAGTTTTTCCCGTTATCCTGGCCAACGATCCACCAAACAAAATTGGTCACTCACGCCGTGGCTGTTTGTGGGGACATTGCTGTGCGCAAGTTGGCTGTCGTGTTCGCCTACATAGTGCATAGTCATTGGTCTTGGACAGCTTGAGCGTGGCGTACAGGGAGCCAGGCTCAGTGGATTTGACGGCGTCCTGTTTACCTTGTTTATTGCCGCCTCACGCTGTTTTTGACATGGTGAGCATTGAGTAAACTAACACCCCTAGGTTTCTGTCAATTTCTCCCTTGTTAAGTTCTATCCCATTTACACAGGTCACGTGCCTCCTGTTTAGATTCCTTTACACCTTGTAGTACCTTGTATTTGCCAATGCTTTCACTCCAGGTACGTTCCCCATTGAGCTCTCTTTGCAAAATCGTTGGTTTGCACATTCTGGCTCCTGCTTACTGCAGTCTCCCAGGCTGGGTGTCATCTGTAGCTACCTTCCACTGAGCTTGTGAATCAAGGACGTTATTATTACTATTACTAATAATAATCCTTGCAATTCAAATCATCATAATAATAATAATCTGTGTATTTGATATAGACCCTTATCACGTCATTGAGTCGACTCAAAGGGCTTCACAAGATATATTGCAAAAGGAATTTGTGGGCAAAATATAGTGTTATTCATGTCAGGATGATGTGACCAAATTTTTTTGCGGGGGGAGAACTTTGCCGACTCAACCTTCTCTGAAGGAAGGTACCTCCAATAATCCAGTACTGCATTGGTGCGTCAGCCTGGACGATGCAATTTCAATGTGGGACTTGAATCAACCTTTGGCTCACAGGTGAGTGCTACTAACTGAGTTAGGCTAACACCATGTATAGTAAAAATAGGAAGGACTCCTGAGGCAACCGGTCAATACATCACTTCATCTTGATCTAGCTTCCCTTTCCACTATTTTCTGCTTTCTTCCATTTAACTAGTTACTGCTACCAATAATGAGAATCAATCCACGACTGTAGGACAATGCTGTGCGCAACTGGCTGTTGCATTTTAGCCAAAGACCGTCAATGCACTTTATAGTATATTCTGTGAAGCACTTTGAGGTGTTTCATAGACGTGATAAGGTGCTACATCAAATGCAAAGATTATTATTAAATAGGATATGTATTTTGTAGTGAACGTGGCAGACAATTTGCGCAAAACAATGTCCCACAAACATTCATGGGTGAACAGCCGTTTTTTATCTTGGGATTCACTGGCAGGACCGTGGGAGAAACTCCTTTTTCTTTTCGAGTCATATCCGAAGATGTCATACTCAGGCTGTACAGCGCTCTGGTTAAGCCACACCTAGATTACTGCATACAGTTCTTGTCACCGCAGCATAAGAGACCCTAGAGGCAGTGCAGAGGAGAGCAATGAGGATGATCTCCAGTGTTACAGTAATGAGC